TGAACTTACTGGTATAAATAGTTCGCAAAATTTATGTTTTTAACTGTTTGTAATTTGATACTTTCACCACACCCCCCTCGGGCAATCAATTTTAGACGAGGCACGTGACCAGCCGATACCAGGGTCTTTCCTAAAGACCCTGGGAACGAGGTTGCTGAGCTATGTTTGCTGGTCGGTTCGAGTATGTGATATTTCGGAACAGAATCTAGTTTAGAAAATTGAAAAAACCGTGCCTTTTGCAGAAAGCTGGATAAAACTAACAAAAAACATGCAATCAATATGTGCTGCACTTGTTTTCATTTGTATATTCAAACAAACCTGATGAATCATGATTTAAAAACTCCTGAAATTTTATCCAGCCATTGTTAGTTTCTTTCCAAATAATCACCTATGAAGTTGAAATATATTTTAGAAGACCACCAGGAACATTCTATTCCTATTCACATCAGCACGACACATGTCTAGCACAGCTTCGCATAGATTTTCAGATACGATGCAAGTTTTACAATCTAAAATGATGTGACTAGTTATGAACCTTTCGATCATAGGAACAAGAAGCCAGAAGACCACCAAACATTGGATGAGCCCAGGATACTTGCCATACTGGACCATCATGGCTAAAAACAACATTAGGCTTGTTTTAGTATCTTTAGCATTTACATTAAAAACTAACATGGGTCAGCTGTCATTGACTTTGCATCTTTACCATAAATATTATACAATTTGTGTATCTAACCAAGGCACATAATTATGTAATATACTGTTTGTGTGATCATTAAGGCTTGCAAATTTCCTTAATAATTTTCATGAAATAGGAAATATTAATTTTGAAAAGTGGAAGCACAGTTTAGAAAATCATGAAGCCCAGGTGAAACGGGTTACACAAGTTGACAAATGATAGTTTGCATTGAAAGTTATCTGAACTCTTGTGCTCTGGTCATATGAGAATGAGAGTTGATGAGGGTCGACTGAATAATACCAGTCAAACTAGGATGAACTTTCAAAATTTTAATTGGCCCAAAATTGATGAGAGTGTATGGCAGTCAATGAATGTTGGTGGTCAAATAAAAGAGTTAGAATCATTCTTCTACACTCTTGACCAGGCTTTTACATTACAGCAAAGATTTAGGAAAGCCCCAATTTTCATGTTATTACATGGACATAAAAATATATTGAGCCTACCCTCGCAACGTGGCTGCATGTGTTTGAGTGTTACCATTTACTTCAAATATTCTAACACTACGATCTGAAGAACATGTTGCCAATTTGCGACCATAATAGTCCATTTGTGCATCATGCTAAAATATACATAAAGGCATTTTATACTAACCGTATAGTTTGAACCCTATATACCAAATAAATTTTCTCCCTATTTATATTTAATTGTTTCTAAGTATGTTCCTGCATTAGAGACAAATCAGTCTATTTCAACCGAGGTAAAATTGAAGTGAAAATTTTCTTCCAATTTTGCAAAGTGGAAATACTGAACAAATTGTCACACTTTTGTTCAGGGTTGGTACTGTAGGTTAGATGAATTATTAGGCCAAATCGTCATTAGTGCCATTTAGAAAACAAAAGGCCAAGACAAAGAAAACAAGGCCTAGTATGATGGTGTTTGGCCTAATAATTCAGCAAACCTACCAACCCGGCTGTCGTTGTGAATTTTATGTATTGTTTAATAAACGAGCAGGAATGTTTTATTAGTATAGGTAATAGCATGGTTTCGAGTGCAATTTGGATATAACATGCACGAGGACATTTAAAAATAAAGATAAAAACCATATTTTCCACGCGAAGGCAACTTTTACTTTGTGTAGCGGGGCGCCGTGTTTGTTTTGTTTTGAAGCAATCTGTGACCGTTACTTCTTTAAACTAAATTGCTTTAAACTGATTGGTTGATTTAATCACCACAATGTTTTTCCACCAATCAGATCAGTTTGTTACGGATTTTTGCACTGTGATTACAGAAAATTGCACTGTGATTACAAAAAATTGCACTGTGATTACAGAAAATTGCACTGTGATTACAGAAAATTGCACTGCTGTTTGGGATTAACTGCACTGAAATCAACCAATCACAGTCGAGTAATATCTTTATCTATTATTAGGTTTAGAAACATGAGTGCGTAGCGCAAGTGGTTTTAGACGTAATAAAACATGTACTGCAAGTTTATTAAACAGTTTCAAACATGATTTCATTGATATTCTTTATACAAAGAATACTAAGTAGAAGATTTTATATAAAGAATACTAATGAGGAGTGTTAAGTCACTGCATGTGATGCATTATCAGTGATCAGTAACAGGTTTAAATAAGCTTATGAATTATTATGAGTGTTTGAAGATTTTAAAAGAATTTCCCAAACCCAGGGGAATAATAGTGAAATTGTCATTAATTTCCTTTCACCTCAGTTGTATGGGAAGGGTTTGCATGCGTAGAGGACCTATGCAAATAGTTTTGGTGACTCATTGATGATTATATGGATGGGAAAAACAATACCAGCAAATGATTTAACCCATTGAATTGCATTGCACCTCAATGCAGATCTTGATTACAATTTGACTGGGCTTTGTAATCATTTATTTAAACCAGAGTAGCGAGCAAAACATGATTCTATCAATTAATTACCAAATTATCAGCTCATTTCTAAATTTTCAAATATACCAGCCACCATAACAAAGTTGTCAATGACGGTAATACTGAATCTTAAAATGAGTAGACCAATATTATATTAATTAATTATAGGTGCCAATGTGGCAATACATATATAGCAACATAGTACAACAGCACATTGTATTATATTGCCACGTTAGTTTAGTAAAAAACTAGGAGAACAAACTCGATATACTAGTTAAAATACAATTCATCAATTCAAATTACCAGGATCAAGTTATAATAGTATAATTAATCAGGTAAAATGTTGTATAAAACTAGTATATTTAATTTGAATTGAACCCAATGATGGTCGAACACCTCTACTTACAATCATGTCTTCATGTGCCGTATCGACGGTGCTCGTTACGGAAACCTGCATAATGTAAAAGATATTTATTTCAACACTATATTTCTTCAAGAATGAGAGCGAAACACGCGTCTTGCTGGAAAACAATCAAGTATTTCTCATTACCATTTTATTGATTTTTTCTGATCAGGAAATTTCAAACGTGGCACAAAGAGATTGAGCCGCCTCGCAGCCTCGTTTCCACAATGAAATCAGCGGTAGATACTGTAATTGCAAAAACTTCATGTTGTATACAACATATTCCAATCAAATTTAATAGTCTATAGTATTACTCTACTGGTTCGCAGAACCATTATTAGTACAGATCAGTATTGATCAGTGCTATTTTAGCTCTCCGTCATGTATTTCCTCAAAAACAGACAATTAAACGATTTAATTTTCACGGTCTTATTTCGAATCATAAGATCATGAGAAAATAAAATTTCAATAATCAAATTATCTCAATACAAGCAGATTAAATGTGGTTGACTGAGTACTATTGAAACCCTTGACTATATTTTCCAGCGAGTATGCACAATGTTTTTATCCTTTAGTTACAGCATATGCAGCTGTTCATCAGTAGACGCAAACAACGGTACATCAACGGAAGTGACCGGTATCCAGTCCCAGTCTTCCCGCGGTAATTTTGAATTTTGAAAAGATAAACATGGCAACTCGAACGCCCGAAACTTTGCTAAATCTCGATCGTTTATCTTTAAATAACGAGTTCGTTGTTAAAACTCCTTTAACACAAAGGCGGTATACACCATATACGAAGTCTAACCAGCGAACACAAGTGCTAACAAAGACTCCTTTGCCGAATTTCCACCAAAAACGGAGGGCCAAAACTCAAGAAGCAAAACTCTCTGGTCGACAACAACGGTCACATGAACTTAGCAACGACAAAACCGAAGATATTTCCACCAGAATTGTTAACAAAACATGGCGAGTTTATCGTGTTTCGCCCTTGTATTCTTTCAAAACGGATGCAAAGTCTTTAAAATTATACGAAAAACGTTTGAACAGCTTTTTAGCGGTCGAAACTTGTAGGGCAGCAGAGGTACAGAGCAGAGTAAAGAAGAAAGCTCTGTTTACGAAGCTTGAAGGGCATACTGATGGGGATTATGGTGTTGAAATTAAAATTATGACAAGCGAGGGAAAGGAGAATGCCGCAAAAGAAGAACTAGTTGCTGTTTTATGTTGCGGAGGGAATGTAAATGATGAAAACTTAAATATTTTAAATGGAGATTTGACATCATTACCTGTATGCTTAATTAAAAGCTCTGTTTTACTGAAGGACTCATTCTTGCAATGGCTTGAGAACCAGTTTGGCTGTAGAGCTTGCCTGCTATTATTCTCACCGACCGACCTCGCCTGGTTGGCATCGCTGTGTGCTGGCATCGGCGAACCGACGACCTCTGTGGAGTTGACTTACTCTGTCCCAGCGGTCATACCTGGACTGGACACCATTTATTTCAAAATGGATGCCAAAGATGCAAGGCGGATATGGAACCTGGTTCATGATCCAAAGCAACCGTGTTTCACAAACGAAGAAGCGGTTAGGATTTTGAAATCGATGGAAACTCATTTTTATCACCATTTTAAAGTACATTTGAATCAAATGCAGTTGACGACAGTTGGGACCTCGGTAGCATACATTGGCCAGGAAGGCCGGATCAAGATACTTCAGGAACCTTATGTGTGCTACATTTTACAACAGTTATCCCAACTGGCAAATTTTTAATAGTTTAGTACTAATTAGATGTTATTAACAAAGTAATCAATAAAGTTATAAATATATTAAAATGGCTGATAGCAATATTATATTCAAAGGAACTCAATTATGTTTTTGCAATATGGCATTGGTTATATTGGAATGGGTCATTCCAGAAAAGATTCACACTTCCCCCACAGAGGAAATTTCTGTCATCTAGCTGGAGGGGCTCGGAGAAAAGTAAGTGTATTAGGACGTCCGAACAGGGTAGGGGAGTTAACTCAAATTTCGTCTGTATGGGGAGGGTTTGGATAAAACAACTACTCACTTTAAAGATATTGTAATATGAACACATTATTTTGATTTATAACTTTATATTTTTTCCCCAGTTTTAGTTACAATGATCATGGTAGAAAATAGCACGATTTAATGTTAACCCATTGTGCCGCAATGCACCCTACTTATTTTTTTTACTTGTTTAATGCCAGACGATTTTACTCGTCCGTGGGGAAGCTCTGCAGCTTAATGGGTTAATCATTAACTTTGTCTAAAACCAGACAATTTTACTCATCAAGATCAAGAGGTTCAAAGTTGAATGGTAATGGCTTTAACCAGACTATATACCAATGTTTCCTGGTGTTTTTTCACTACCTACGCTGGCACAGATTGTTTCAGCTTCACAAATGTTAGTTCAAGTTGTTTTGCCAATAAATTTGTGCAGTTCATCTATTGTAACATTAGAGCCAGTCAGAAACACCACCACCTGTGCATCCGCTTTGATGTCCGGGATTTTCTTATTGAGAAATGCGGCAAATGCTGCAGCACCAGATGGTTCAACTACCAGACCACCATCATACAGCACTTTCATTGCTCTGGTTAGAATACAACATAAATTTTACAAGAAACATAAAATGTATGATTATTTCATATTTACAGTGTAAGCAGCATACAGTAACCCTATTGTCAAAGTGACATACTTTCCTGGAGGGTGTATACAAGGGTGGGTAGTAGCGAAGTAGTCGCTACTGTAGCGAACTACAATTTTCAAGTAGCCAGTAGTTTTTGACTACATTTTTAAAACAGTAGCTGTAGTTATAGCGAACTACATTTTGCCTAAAAGTAGCCAAGTAGTTGACTACTTTTCAAACAGAAAATTGCTATTCGCTACTTTTAAAAATTGTTAACAACTTGATAGAATAGCATGATATTGAGACACGATTTGCTTAAAATCGATACTCAATAGTCAATTTGCACTCCTGAACACTATAGTGATTACAAAACTGTTGCTTTGTGTTTACTGTTGCTACTCGTAAGTCGATTTGTTATAGGTTACATTTCAGTCTGAGTTAGTATAGATGCTCCGAATACAGTAAAACTAAAAAACATAGCAGTAGCTGTAGTCAGTAGCGAACTACCTCTGTTCAAAAGTAGCAGTAGTTGTAGCTGACTACATATTTTTGAAGTAGCTGTAGTTATAGTGAACTACAAAAATTTTGTAGTCAACCCACCCTTGGGTGTATAATTGCCAATATAATAAGATAACATACTTTTTTATTTCTTTGTCTGAAACCAGAATAATGTCCTCCACAAAATTTCTTATTACTTCAAAATTATTTTTCCCTATAATGATACAAACCATACAAAAAGTTTTTGTTACACACCACAATTTTTCAAGTTTGTGAATTTGTTACCTGCCATTGGCGGAGCCAAGCCACTTGCTATCGTGTCAATCGATTCCAATGTGACAGCCTTGCCTGCTTGCAAGCTTTTGAACATCTTTGGAGCTGAAATATATATAGTACATCCATTGAAAACCAGCACTCTCTCTAGCATTAGAGCAAAATAATAAAGTAACAATGGGTGTAAAGTAACCAATGAACTAGTGCAATACAATCTAGACAGTCAAGAACAGATGTGCAGAGCCTCCCTGTTGACAAGTAAAATCGTCTGGCATTAGACAATTAAAAAAGATAAGTAGGGCACACTGGAGCACAATTGCAGCTCAATGGGTTAACCCATTGAGTCGCATTGCACCCTGATGCACCCTAATGCCCAACGATTTTACTCGTCAAGGGGAGAGCGCTGGCGCTTAACGGGTTAATATACCTCCCTCAGGTTCTGCTCCAAACACTCTTGTCTTCTTTCCAGAGTATTTCATTGCCGTAGCCACACCAGCCAATAGACCACCACCACCACAACACACAATGATGACGTCAGGATCCGGAATTTCATCAAGCACCTCAAATCCTGCACTTCAGTAAAATAATAAAGTAGGGCACATTGCCACTTAAAGGGTTAACAGGGTGCATGGGCAAATAATCTGATTAACCCATTGGTAGCACTCTCCCCATGAAGGGTAAAATCGTCTGGCGTTAGACTATAGAGTAAAATCATCTGGCATTAGACAGATCGAGTAAAATAATCAAATACCATTAGATTGATTATTTCACAAAATTTGGGCATCTCAATCCCAATAAAACTGAGTGTTGATGGAGTTTTTGTACATGACAATTTTGAGCAAACATTTATATACCATTTTAGACATGACTGCAGTTGCCTGAAGTTGTATTTTTCGCAGCTATTCGTGGCCATGTCTAAAATTGTATGAAAAAATTTTTGCTCAAAATTTCCATCTATAAAAAACCCATCAACATTAACTCATTTTGTTACCATAATCAATCACATACAAATCCACCTACCTAGCACAGCCACATATCAGATTTGTATCATCGAAGGAATGCAGGAAATGCATGCCATCCTCTTTAACATGTTTCTCGACCGTTTCCCTCAATTCTTGCACTGGTACTCGTTCAACTTTAGCACCATAGCCCTATATTTAATTGTACATTTTTATTAACTATAATATATACTGTAGTTTAATGGATTAATTACTATTAAAAAACTCATTAATAATTCATGAAGACAACACAGCCGCTCATGTTGTAAACATTACATATTGAATGGTTGAAAGACAATACCATACCTCAATAATCTTAACTCTGCTAACTGGAGCAACATCAGGCATCACTACGGTCGCTGGCAAGTCAAGCTGTTGAGTGGCATAGGCGAATGCCTTCCCATAATTCCCTGCAGACATTGCTACCAGGCTCTGTTTGTCTTTTAATACATTCGGGGGTAAATAAACCAACTGGTTAGCAAGCCCCCGGGTTTTAAAGGAACCTTGTAAATAATAATCACAGTTAGTATACATATATATATATAGTAATACACCACTAAGACTATAGCCACAGAATGGGGACCTTACAGAAGACTGACTTCTTGTTTTTTGCCATAACCATTGCAATGCTGTTACCGTGTTCCTACTTCCTAGCCGGTATGCCTACGAAAGGCATTCACCCCCTGAGAATATTCACAATGGCAGATGTTCAGGGGGATGAATGACTCTCATAAGCGCATTTGGCCAGGGACACAGCAAGTGAATTTTGATGATGAATGGAATCATGGTGTACCCCCCTTTAAAGTTGAATATTCTGTACCTGTTTTCTGCAACGTTTCCAATTTAAAATGGACATCGCACATAAAACATTTTTCATCCAATCCAAAGAGTTCTCCCGCATTCTTGAGAAGCGGTGTTTTAACAACAAGAGGACTTTTTTCCACTGCCAATCTCGCTTTGTCTAAACGTTCTTTGGTGATGTCCAAAACTTGATCCATTCTTTATTTTGCGTGTACGTAAATATTGGAAATTGCCCAGTAATTGTTACACCATAAACACGTGTTTCAATATTTGTACTTTGTATTCTAAAAACCATCTTTCACATGACATCGTACGGTGTCTTTAACCAATCAAAATGAAAGTACCCAAAGTGAGCACCTCCTGGATGATGTATAGTATTCGCGCACCAATATAGGTTAGGGTTAGGATTAGGTCAGTTAGGGTTAGGGGCAGCCTAGTCCCAGTCGTTCTGAAGCAAACGCGGATACGCGGATGTGGTATGAGACTGGGACCTAAGTGTGACGTCACAGCTCAAGGTCCAGGCATAAAACTTATAAAACACCCAATCTCGTTCCCCGAGCCTTCGATTCCTTCATTCTGGCGTCAGCAAAGGCCGAAATCCGCCATGTTTTTGCGGACACTTTTTGATGCCGAGCACGTCCTCCAGTAATATAGTATAGCTCAGTGGATAATCCATGTCAGACATACAGAAAACTGTATGTCGACCGAACTGCGCATGCGTTGGCAAAAGCAAAACAAATTGTTTGAAATATTTTATTGTTTCGTCTATAAAATGAAGATTTTTTCGGGGTTTTGGTGGAAATGTTGATGTTCTTCATAGTGGGATACAAAAGGTGTGTTAGCGACTGAATAAGGAAAATATTGCGTGTGAAACAGGGTCAGTATAGAGCCGGCAGGAGCCGCGAAGAGTGCTGTTGTCGAAGAAAAATGTCACAATTAATTGTAATCTTGTCCATTCTGGCATTCTGGCCTCTGTGTCAGTTTGAAAAAGCTTTAAATGTAGAGACATTTGTGGTTTCTCCAGCATAATTTAGCCGTTTAACGCTATTATGTTTCTAATGGTTGAAAGAGCGCGTGGAAAGGGCAATTTTCAAGAACAAAAACAATTACAATGTACTGTGTGTTAATTGGCAATAATTGCTACTGTAGTATTATAAAACTACCTGAAAAGAGTCTCAATTCTTAGATTAAGTCGGTTATAAACCTTGATAATATTAAAGTTTTCAGAAGATTTGTATATCAGAGGAATATTAAAAGGAATTTAGACTTATAAAACATATCATTAAAAATATGAATATAGTGAATTCCATGTTTGTATTGTATCATCTCTAGAAATTAACAGTTTATAAACCAAATCCTTGTTATATTTTTTAACTGCCCTTATAGCTTCCTTATATGTTTTAATATTTGCAAGCAGTTTAGTAGGTTAGGGATGCAACAGCACTTTTCAAATTATTGAATTATAACCAAATTTTGTGTCTGGATAGGAATTACTATTAAAGATTTACAGTTTGTAATGATAGAGTTGGAGCAAGTTAAGCTGCAATGTGCCTCAGTTTGCCCTACTTTGTTATTTTAAGCTGTTTAACGCCAGAATTTTTTCTCGTCAAGGGGAAAGTATTGGACATAGTATTTGAATAGGTTAACCAGTCCATCTGTATGTCTACCTATCTTTGGTTAATTATCTCATTAGATCATTAAGCCACAATGCTCTTTAGTGCACCCTATTTTGTTATTTCACTGTACTTCTGGACAGGGATGGATCCAGCATGATCTGGTAGGGGGGGGGGGTGCCTCTGGTGCCGAGTTGTGTTGGTCATGTGTGCCACCCACCCATCAACTACTGTATTTGAATTGTAATTGTTCACAGTTCACTTATCATCATGTCATTACTCAAATTAATGTATCTCATTTTGTCTTTTTTTTGCTTTATCATGAAAAATAGCACCTCCCCTGCAACATCTCTGGCCAGGGCTAGGGGGGGGGGGCACCCCACCCCCGTAAATCCATCCCTGCTTCTGGACAATATTTCTCATCAATGGCCAGAAATGTACTTGACTTCATGTTGATTACTACCATTAATTAATTAACTACTGTACTAAATAGGACATTCAAGGTTGGAGATATAATAGCAATAGAGGTTGCTAGCTATCATTGTAGCATTCAGGGGCGTCACTAGCCAAAATTGTCAGTCATTTGGCAATTTATTGTATTGGCAATCGGGAAATTGTTTTCTTGGCCAGCTTGATTTGAATTGGAAAGGAAGGGAAAAACCGAAATATACGAGTTTTTGTTGCCCCTCCCCTTCTCAGAGTAGGTATGTGCTGTTTTATAGTGTAAATAACAAGTTTTGATATTGCAATCAAACTGACAGGGTAGTTGTCATGACCATGGTAATAAAAATATTTCTATGGCTCGGCATTTATATTGGGCAATTTTTTTTATCATTAATCACAAAATTATATCTGCACCCTAGGTGGTTCCCTGCAGGGGGTCATAACCAGGGGGAAGCTGATGAAAATGAATTCTGGTTTTGGTGGCTGATCACTGTCATTTCAGTATGAATAGAACATTTCTTAAAAAAAAGTATATGAATTTATTAAAAATATTTATATGGTCTCCCAATCTGAAATTCATAGTTTGTAACATCTGGATCAAAAGGTTTATGATGTTTTCTTGGACAGAATCCAATTAATACAACCTCGTACAAGGGCAGGGCTTCATTGAATTACTGTGTGGACAAGATTAACAAAGGGATTGGCAATTTGGCATATTGTGCTACTCAATAAATTAAAATCATTAAATACTTTATGCTACAATTAGCTGTCAGTAATATTATACTGTATATTATTGTGTTTCATATGACTTCATAAATTTGATGGGTGGTCAACTCTAAATCGAGACACAGTCATCAGAGTGAATTAATTTTTCACTGTATGTGTTGGCAAATACATGTAATTTCATATCATTTGCTCACTCCAGTACAACATAAGCATCAATACATTTATTTTTTAGGTTGACCCCCCGTCAGTACCAATGACAGAACGTGCAAAATGCCATAGTGAAACCCAAGAATTCATTATATGTATTATGCAGTATGCACCTATCGATGTTAAGCCCCAGAGAAGGGGGGTCGGGCACAGGTGGGCATTTGATTTTTAGAGCAAATTTTCAATGAAATGCCCCCCCCCCCCTCCCCCATCGGGCAATAAATATTGGTCAAATGCCCCACCATTTTGTAATAAATTGCAATAAATACTATGTTAATAAAAGTCATTCGGTTCAATTTGCCCCAACTCGGGGCCAAAATGCTATTCAAAATCCCCAGGGTGGGGATGCAATTGATGATCAAATACCCCACATATGCCCGACCCCCCCTCTGGGGGTTAACATTGACAGGTGCATTAGGTGTATGCAGACTGGAATACAAGTTAATATCACTGCCTGTGAAATTGTGGTTTATTTAGAGAATAAAGGTTTTTTGAACTCTTCTATAAATAAATTATAACAGCAAAAGATTAATATGCACCCATATAGGGAAGGCTTACATGCTACAAGTTAAAATGAGTATTACATACTCCTGCACTTGAAAAGTTTACAGCACAGTATATACATTAAATAATAAAATATATTATTAACAGTAAATTCCAAGATTGGATTTATTGAAACTAGTCATTAACTAGTTCTTCGCATTTAAATAACACAAAGACAAATTAATAAAAGTTATTAACCATTTCTGACAAATATTATTTGCAAAATATAGCACATAGTTGATATTATAGTCAAATAGTACAGTGTACTAACAGTAAGCATGCAGTACTCTATACTCTACTATGTATAGATTAAAACTACAGAAAACCTGTACAACACATATATGAGTAAAGTTTTCACGCTCCATTTAACTGTTGTGATATTATACGCATTAAGTATACGTTTCTTTGCATTTCCTTTGTAGTATTAGTATATAGCACAGCTCTGAAAAACCAAAACAATATTCGTACACTCCTAAACGGCCGCCATGTTGTATATAAAAATATACGGTTAAAAATTAATTTTTGCAAAATTGCAACATTCCATTGTATACCAGCAACCAATCATATTCATTTCTGACATGGATTATCCCAGAGCCTTCGTTTCCTTCCCAAGGATCGCAGGCTCGGGGAACGAGATTGTTACGTCACGCAAGTGAGTCGGCGTATATTCTTTTATTCGACTATACTAGTACTATTAACTCTCGGCGGATATATAGGTAGATTTGTGATCGAAAAAGATATGCCTTGTTGCAGGCTTGCAGCTAACTGTACCAATAAAGTATGTTTAAAAGATGGAATAAGTCTACACAATATTCCATACTTTAATGACGAACACGTGGAAGCTAAAAGAAGAACTAGTATGGGTTGATTTTGTATGCGCAAAGGGTTTGTTTGGAGTCAAAGACTTCGACTATATGCTCGGATCATTGTAGAGCAGAGGATTACGAGAGGCATTTTTTTTTCGTTGCCGGGGCTTGGCAAGCCTAACTATCTGAAGCTAATAAAGGCTGACGATGATTTACTTTGTTTTGATGATTCAATTTGCAATTGTATTTCGCTAATTTCGGTTTTGCGGGCCAGCTAAAAATATAAATATTTTGTAATACCGAAATAAAAGATGCAAATCTGAAGACACAAGCTTGAAAATATGACTCTAAATAGTGTTTTGGATTCCGGTTCGAATAAGACCATTGCGAAAAAGATATGTCCAAAGGGGTCGAAGTTATGGTCGGCTAAAGGTATGGCTACTTTACATTGTTCGAGACTAATTGAGTAATATAATGAATTATGACACCGCTTGACCTCTCAAAGGTCATAAATAGCTATTTGACTAC